GGACAGGGGTAGTATTATTTTCCATAGTAGAAACTGTGGAAAGTTGCATGATTTTTCTAGTGGGACATTTGACTGGATTTACTAAAAATAAATGTTTCAGTATCTAGACAGGCGTTTCGGGAAGGCAGCGAGGATAGCAGGAAGTCTCGCGTTTCTACTGCAGCTGCTTCTGTACAGCGGCGTGGTGCTGTACGCACCGGCGCTCGCCCTGGAAGCCACCACGGGCCTCTCGAGGACCGTAAGCATAATCGGTATAGGACTGGTCTGCACGTTTTATTCGGCGATCGGCGGTATCAAGGCAGTCCTGATTACGGACGTATTTCAGAGCCTACTGATGCTACTCGCCGTTATCTTAGTGATCGTCACGGCGGCTGTGAACGTCGGCGGCGTGCAGCGGATTTGGGAAATCGCTAATGAAGGATCCCGAATAGAATTCGACAAGTAAATGTCTATCAGGTTTATATTATAATCGAGTTTTCATAAACAGGAGTAAACTAAATGTTTAATTGTATCTTCTTAATAGTATAATCTTATCAAAAAGTTAAATCGATTTCCTCTGCCATATTATATTGTAAATTGCCATGACGCCCTTTTAACACAGTTCGAAATGCTGAACATTTATTTTACGAGGAATACCGAGGTACTGACAATGGTATATAGTATAGTACATGTGTGTATTCATTCAGCATTTCAGTGGACCCGACCGTACGACACACCTGGTGGAGCTTGACATTTGGCGGTTTCTTCACCTACCTCTCCTTGTACGGCACCAACCAAGTTCAAGTTCAGAGAATGTTAACCATCAAGTGAGTACTCGCTGACTTTCTACCTGAATCGCATATGTGAATTCATTCGCCATTATCGGAATTTTACAATTAAAACAAAACCGACTTCATCTCGCTTGCTTTTAAGTTTGTTAATAATTCAAAGGAAACTAATAATAAAGAATTGATTGACATTTTAATAGTTATCAGGTATTACTAATGAAACACCGTGGCAAATTTAAAAAAGTATCATATTCCTGTAATTTTGTACTTTATGAAGTATGAGCGTAAATTGTAAATCGATAAGCGTCTCGGACCCTTGGAATCAGATAAGTTGGAAGAATTTTATAGACGATTATTGTTAAGTAGAATCGGCGAAGCGGTGGACAAGAAACGATTTATCGAACGATCGCTACCGGTGCGGCGGTATGCACGTAAGATGCGAGGCCCCGATAAAATCCGAGGAAAATTCCTCCGTCGGTCTGTCGTCACGCTACGGAGAGGAGAATCACGATAATGTGCCTCGAGATGAATACAATGCACGGGATACGCAATATTCGTGCCACTTATTTAGAAACTTTATTTTCATCCATCCAACGGTTAATTTATGATTCAAGATGTCGAAAAAAAAAATAGTTTCCATATTAATTTCAGTTCTGGTTATTTTTCTCGTTATTTA